CCACTGTCCTCCAGACCCCAGAATGGTAGATGTACCAACAGCTTGCACCGTGTGCCTGGAAAAGTTGCAGACACTCAATGCCAGCCCATGAAAACAGCTGGGAAGGGAGCTATGCCCTTCAAAACCACAGGTGTGGAACTGCCCAAGGCTGTGGGAGCCCATCTCTTGCATCAGCATGCCCTGGATGTGAGACATGGAATCAAAGGAGATCATTTCAGAACTTTAAGGTTTAATGACTGCCCTATTGGATTTCGGACTTGCATGGGGCCTGTAACCTCTTTGTTTTGGCCAATTTATTCCATCTGGAATGGGTGTATTTACCCAAAGCCTGTACTCCCATTGTATCTAGGAAGTAACTAACTTGCTTTTGAGTTTACAGGATCATAGGAAAAAGGGACTTGCCTTGTCTCAGATAAGACTTTGGACTTGCACTTTTGAGTTAATGCTGGAATGAATTAAGACTTTGAGGGACTTCTGGGAAGGCACGATTTTGTTTTGAATTGTGAGGACATGAGATTTGTGAAGGGCCAGGGGTGGGATGATATGGTTTGACTGTGTTCCCACCCAAATCTCATCTTGAGTTGTATTTCCCATAATCCCGAGGTGTGGTGGGAGGGACCCAGTGGGAGGTACTTGAATCATGGGTGCTGTTTCTTCTATGCTATTCTCATGATAGTGAGTGAGTTTTCATGAGATCTGACAGTTTTATAAGTGTTTGGCATTTCCCCTGGTGGCACTCATTCTCTCTCCTGCGACTCTTTGACGAGATGCCTTCTGCTATGATTGTCAGTTACCTAAGGCCTCCCCAGTTATGCAGAACTGCAAGTTAATGAAACCTCTTTTCTGTGTAAATTACCCAGTCTCAGGTATTTCTTTATAGCACCATGAGAACGGACTAATACACTGTTCATGGCTGGGCTCACTTATCTCAGACCTTAGAGGGGACAACTGGACTGACTTGACTCAGTCCACATGGTCTCTCGTCCTCCAGCAAGTTAGCTTATGCTTGTTGACATGACAAATGTAGATGTTTAAAGTGTGAGTGAAAGAGTACAAAGTGTTTTGGGAACCAGGCCCATTACTATCCCACCATCACTTCCCCATCTTATTTTTCTAAGTATGTGGGAAGGCCAGCTCAGATTTAAGAGGTGAGAAGGTCAGCACAATGTCTTTATTGGATGAGCTGCAAAGTCACATTTTAAAAATATGAATACTCAGAGTAGATACAGAGGATGGGATAACTGTGGGCACTTCTGAAAATAATCTGCTATAAAGTATTACAATCATTTATTTTGCACTCTTGCCCTCTCAGAATCTTTTTGTGTTTTATCAATAGTTCATAAAAATACATAAATTATGTTCATGTTCATTCACATTTGAGAGATGGATCCAAGTGCCAGGATATCTATAAGTCCAGATTCTTCATTGCTTGGGGATGAATACAAGGTCATCTTAAACCACTCTCATTTTTTGCACTCAGGTTCAGCATACTTACTAGCTTTCATTTAAAACACGTCAAATACTTTACCAGTCTGGGGATTTGTCCATGCTACCTTCTGGAATTTTATTTTTCTTACCACTTCTCTGACTCATTCCTTATTCTTGTGACAGTTCTAAGGTTCAATGTCATTTCGACATTCCTTCATAACCCTATGTAAATTACATCCCCTCACTACATCTTAAAGTAACATTTTAAATGTAAATAAGTGATTATCAATTGAGAATAATTTTGTCCCCTAGCTACTTTTTGGCATCACAACCGGAAGATGCTACTATCTAGTGGATAGGGGCCAAGGTACTGCTGTCCTTTTATACCAGGAGCAGCCTTTCCACCACAAAACAAAGAATTATTCAGTCCAAAATGTCAATAGTACTAAAGTTTATAAACTGCTTTTGATCATGCACAATAAGTTTGAAATACATATTTGTTTGGGTGTTTGTTTTAACATCTGTCTTTCCTACTAGACTGAATGTTTCATACAGATGAGATAATGCCTATTTTGCTTAACATTGAATATCCAGCATCTTCCTCAGTGTCTGATGCCAGGTAGCTACATGAAAGGATGAAACAGCAGGCATGAGGTAAGAAGAAAACGAAAGGCTTTATTAGGAGGGTATACAAACATTTCTTGGTGTATCAGTGCCCTGTCCATACTCCAACAGCTCATACCATTTAAGTAGATATTTGCCTGACTTTCAAATGTCGAAACCTTTATTTCTTTGTGTGAGACCTTTCATTAGATCACCAGAGTCCATTGTGCTCAATAATATGACAGTCCAGAACAGTGGGGCATCACCTGCCCCCTGGAAGATGTGTTTTCTACATCGTTCTCTAAAGTTTTTCAGTAACATTAGCTGCTTGATAACAAATACTTTGTTTGCTTCCTTTCCTTCTCTGTCTCAGTTCCTCTCTTCCCTGCCAGAGTTTCCTGGGAATAACTCCTGTGGTAGGCTGAATAATGGTCCCCAAAGATACTTCGATTCTAACCCCTTGCACTTATGAATGCTGCCTTATATGGAAAAAGAGAATTCACAGAGATGATTGTGGAAGATGGGAGATTATTCTGTATTATCTGATAGAACTTAAAGGCAAACTCACACGTTCATAAAAGAGGGAGGCAGAGGTGGATTTGACACAGAAGAAGGAAATGTGACTACTGAAGAAAAATGCTATGCTGCTGGCTGTAAATAGGAAGGAAGGGGTCCATGAGATAAGGAATGAAGCTCTAGGAGCTGGGAAAGACAAGGAAACAGACTCTCCTCTAGTGTCCCCAGAGGGAGCATGGCAATGTTGACACTTTATTTTCAGCCTAGTGAAACTGATTTTGGACTTCTGACCTCCAGGTTTGAAAGATACTAAATGCATGTATTTTAAAGCTACCAAATTTACGGCATTATAGCAGCCATAGGGATCTATTACAATTTTTGGTCCCTGGAAGTGGGTTGCTGCTATAACAAATATCTAAAAATGTGGAAGTGGTTTTGCAACTGGATAATAGCTATAGACTGGAATAATTTTCAGGAGCATTATATAACAACCCTAGATTATGTTGAACAGATCATTAGTAGAAATATGAATGTTCAAAGTGTTCCTGGTGAGAGCTCAGACATGAGGAGCACAGTAGAGAAAGTCTATATTGTCTTAGAGAACACCTAAATTATCATAAACAAACTATTGATAGAAATAAAATGTCAAAGATGTTGCTGGTGAAGGCTTAGAAAGAAGTTAGTAACATAATATTGGAAAAGGGATTTTGTGTTATATAGCATCAGAAATCGTAGCTGAGTTGTGCCCTACAATTATGTGGAAAGCAGGACTTGTAAGCAATGAACTTGAATATTTAGCTGAGGAGATTTTCATGCAAAGGATTAAATGAATGGCCTGCTTTTATTGCTGCTTATAGTAAAATGCTAGAAGAAAGACATAAATTGAGGGAAGAACTGTTAAGCAAAAAGAAAGCAGGATTCAATGATATGAGAAATTTTCAGCCTATCCAGATTGCAAAAAGACACCAAAATTAGGAAATTCATTGCCACGAAATCATTCTCCAGAGATAAAATCAAGGGCATAGCTAGACATCCTTTTGCTAGTGCCTTTAAGGGATCAAAAGATCAAAATATTCAATCACACAGATGGTGTTTTGAAGAGATATGGGGTGTGCTTCTCAGAATAAGCAAGGGATTGTCTATGAAGGATCTTGAAGAAACCTCTTGTCTAATCACATGAATCCCCATGACATACATAAAAGACCTATAAGTTTTTGAGAATGTTATATCAGCAGAAACAATGCCAGCTTAGACGGAAAGGGACAAATAGAGGAAGAAATGAAAGAAGGCCGTAGGACTCCCAAAATTTGACAGGAGAAAGCAGGCTGATAAAACTACTCAGCTGTAAACATATGCTACCATTCAAAATAAAGGAACAATGACTGAGGGCAGAACCTAGAGGCCAGAGGGCAGATTTATGACCCCAGGTAAAGTCATAGGATCAGAGTGATCAAAGGGAGGAGTCTTAAGTCATAGAATATTCCCAGGCCTTGAAACCTAATGGTTGGATTTTGAAATTGTTTGGATTTAAGACTCTTGTTCTTTCCACTTTTTCCCCTATGGAATGGCAAAGTTATTGGCTGTAAATGAACCAAAGTCAAAGGGAAAACACAGAATTACTAGAAAGGAAAATTAAATAATAGAAAAGAAACATCTCTTAGTGCTTTTGCTTCACCTAGGAGAGACAAGAAATATACATCTGGGCTTAAACTGAGCACAAGATGCACTTCTCTATCAATTGTTTACCTGACACTGACAGGTAAACTTATTGAGCATCTTATTATTAATTGAAAAATGATTAAAATATATTTTTCAACCATTGTGGAAAACAGTATGGCAATTCCTCAAGGATCTAGAACTAGAAATACCATTTGACTCAGCCATCCCATTACTGGGGATATACCCAAAGGATTATAAATCATGCTGCTATAAAGACATATACACATGTATGTTTATTGCAGCACTATTCACAATAGCAAAGATTTGGAATCAACCCAAATGTCCATCAGTGACAGACTGGATTAAGAAAATGTGGCACATATACACCATGGAATACTATGAAACCATAAAAAAGGATGAGTTCATGTCCTTTGTAGGCACATGGATGCAGCTGGAAACCATCATTCTCAGCAAACTATCGCAAGAACAGAAAACCAAACACTGCATGTTCTCACTCATAGGTGGGAATTGAAGAATGAGATCACTTGGACACAGGAAGGGGAACATCACACACTGGGGCCTATTGTGGGGAGTGGGGAGGGGGGAGGGATAGCATTAGGAGATATACCTAATGTAAATGACGAGTTAATGGGTGCAGCACACCAACATGGCACATGTATACATATGTAACAAACCTGCACATTGTGCACATGTACCCTAGAACTTAAAGTATAATAATAAAAAATAAAAATAAAAAAATAAATAAAATGCATTTTTCAAATAGGGTAAAATCATGACACTCATACAGATACGAAGTGAACACATGCTAAAAGAAAAAGATGTTATGACTGCTTCAAAAGGGAAACCAAAGAGTCAATATGGGAATATTCATCAGTAATATTAAATGATTGTGCACATGGAGGCAAAACTGGTTTCATAAGGTGAAGACCAACTCAACCTCTACTAAAGAATATACTGTACATGTATCAGCCACCTACAACTAACAAAAGGCTATAAAAGACTTCACAGATAATGTAAGGCTAGAATCAGATAACCTGCAGTGGTGTCCTAAAGATAGAGCAAAGTTTTCCATTGAAACACACTTTTATTTTTATAATATCAAAATCAGGTAAAGAGTTATAGTTCCCTCAAAATCAGGGTTCAGTCATTAGGGTGACTAGATCAGTGTCACAGACATTTCTAAGCTGAGGTCTGATCAGGGACCAGTGGACACCAGTGAAATCACAAAGCCTAGGGATGTCACAAAGGCAGCTAGCTCCCTGACCAATCAGGGCCTGGAGCAGAGGGATACAATAGGCAGCACCAGTGTCCTCAGAGACTTACTTGAGCTGGAGAATCAAGCAGAGCTGATCAGAGCCAAACCCAGCAAATATCATGTCAGAGAAAAATAACCGTAAGAACTCCTCTACAAATAACAACCAGATTCAAGACCGGTCTAGAAATGAGCTGCGGGTCCCTATGAGGTTCGTGGACCGAGTTGTGCAAGATGAACAAGATGCCGAAAGCCAGAGTTCCTCCACAATAAATATCATCCTTACCCTGCTCGATTGCCTTGCTGACTACATCATGGAGCAGGTAGCCTTGGAGGCCATCAACAATGGCAGGATGCGCAACACTTCACAAGATGGGGAGAGAGAAGTGGACAACCACCATGAGCCCCACCGCACTGAGAGTGATGGAACCCGCTTTGTGTTTGATGAGATGCCCAAATCCGGAAAGAATGACTGAAGACTGGGTCCCAGAGCCTTGAGGGGATCCTCACAGGCTTAGCCAGGGCAAAAATGTGTCACAGCTGAGGAATATCTGCTGTTGTCATCAACAAGTGCTACTAAAGGATGTAAATCCATGAGTATGTTTCTGACTCCTTCCAGTTTCCGTCTCTTTGGGTTGTAGGTGTCTGTGAGACATCAAGGAGAAGCTATCCCCAGAGAGCTGAAGTAGGGGGGGCGGGAAGTGGTGGCCAGTGTGGAGTGTTTGAATCAGTGATTTAGAGGGGGCAGTTTCCAACGGTGATGGAGAGGGCACGGGCCCTGTGGGGAGGAACTGGCTGGGATAAAGACACCGCGACTTCCTCATTGCCTCTGAACAGGAAGGCCTTGTGAGGCCGGGAAGTTGGCTGGGGACTTCTGAGGCTTGCTGAATTCCCAGCCTGATGCTGGGGCCTGGGGTGGAGCTGCAGACTCTGACTGAGGTGCGGGAGGCTTTATTCAGGATAGCAAAGGTCTGAAGTCAGAGGGTGGTGGCCACAGGGGCGGGTGGAGAGGGGGCACACTGGCAGGCATGAAGTTCATGGGATAGGGACTTTACATGGAGATTGAGAGTGAAGGAGAAACCATGATGAAAAATGCAAAAAAGAAATGATGGCCTGCTGGATTTCATTTCTTATTTCTTTATGCCCTGACTTATTATGAAAGAGGATTTGAGACAGGGATTAGTAGCTAGTGCTGTGAATATATCTTTCTATCCTCTCTTCAGGACACTGGTAAAATAAATCATAATAATACATAAAACTTATGATCTGGCCTAAGATGGGCAATTCAAGAAGTTCTTAATGGTTGTTAATTATTAATGAATCAGCTTAATTATATATGTATTTCATTTAAAACACAATTAACATTTCATTTTTAAATTAAATACCTATTCATTATAATTACTATATATTGCATAGAGCACCAAAGAATTATTAGTGACTCAATACATGTTTTAAGAGGTATAGAAATAATTCTGTCCCAAGTGACGGCCTCTAAAGCATGTGCAATCCTTTTCAAAACTTCCTGCTCTGTGCTAAGTTTAAAAGAAGTGTCACATTAAACGTTGTAGCAATCTGTCCCCTTGCCTGTGAATGCCCGCATTTTAGGTTTCCACCTGTTCCTTGGGTCCTTGGGTGCCACAGTCTGCTGCCTGCTGGCCTTTCACAGAGGACTGGTCAGAGGCTGCACAGGCGGCTCCAACAGTGGGAGCTGAGGGCCTGGGTTTCAGATCCCATTTCACCAATTCCTGGACATGTGATATTAGACCTTCAATTACTACCTCTGAGCAAGTCTCCTCATGTGTAAAATGGGAGTAATAAGAGTCTCTCCATCTGTGGGTTTTCCCAAGATTGAGTCTACTTGTGCCCATAAACTGCTCCTCCACACGGTGCATGCACAAGGTCACCCTTGATAAACAGCTGCATCTGCTTTCTTCCCTAACAGCAGACCTGTAGGCAGGCTTCCCTAAGGCGCAGTGGGCCTGGTTCTCAGGTGACCGCTGGGGACTTAGGCCACTGGCTGTGAGAACCACATCCTGCTGAGCCTGTGGAGAGACAGGAGGAATGTGAAAATATTTAATTTATGTAAGCAAAAGAGACTTTATAATCCAATACGTCAATACCATCCAGAGACAGGAAAACTTTACATAATCACACAATCAGAGGTGGAGTTATTCCAGAATTACAAGCACATAGACATGTAGGCACAGAGAAATAGAGCTTAGAGCTTCAGTTCCACAATTTCAACCATGAGTCAAGTGTAAATAGAAACAGTAAAGTTCTCTGATCCAAATATATATATATATAAAACTGTTCTCCTCTAAGAGAGTATGAAATTCTTAATTTATTTGAGCCATAAATAGACAAATGGACAAATAAAAAGACTGTCAAACCAGATTTTCTGTTGTCTTTTACACAACGGAGATTGGATTTCTGTGAATCATTTACTCATTTACACAACTCTCCAGATGGTCGGATCCTAAAACTGAATTCCCAACCATTTGGTCAACAATGAAAATAACTTACCTAATATCGATGAACCACAACAACAACAACAACAAAAATACAGAATTAGTAGAGAAAAAGACTGAAATCAAAATTAAATGTTGAAACTAAAATTAGAAAAACACAATGAACAAAGACCTATTTGGGCTTTGGAGTCACCTAGATGAGGCAAGCAAAGACACTGCTGGGTTTAACCCAGCATGAGGCACACATCTCTGTCACCAAGTTTGCCTAGCTCTGATAGATGAATCCACTGGGTATAACATTGTGACCTTTAAAAACAGGTAAAAGATATTTTCCAACAGAGTAAAATCATAACACTGGAACACCTATGATATGGAAATGCATTGAAACAATCGGTTAACTCATGAGGAAATTTTCAGATATTATAAGCCATTCAAAAGACAATTCAAAGAATAAACATAGGAATATTGATCATGAATGTTTAAGTAAATGTATACATGGAGGCAAAATTGGGGGCAAGGCAGTGAACATGTCTGTAAGTGACTTATAGCTTCTAGAGAGAATGTAAATTAGCTCACAGACAATGCAAGGCTAAACTTAAAGAATCTGGAGTGGTGTCCTAAAGACGGCACAATACCTTCATTGACACAACTTTTTGCTAAAATGTTAAAATAAAATATGAGCCTTTCCTTAAAAAGAAGTTCCAGCTACTAAGGCAACCGGGTTCCTCTCAAAAAGAAGTTCCAGTTACTAGGGCGACCAGGTTCCTCTCAAAAAGAAGTTCCAGTTACTAGGGCGACCAGGTTCCTCTCAGAAAGAAGTTCCAGTTACTAGGGCGACCAGGTTCCTCTCAAAAAGAAGTTCCAGTTACTAGGGCGACCAGGTTCCTCTCAGAAAGAAGTTCCAGTTACTAGGGCAACCAGGTTCCTTTCAAAAAGAAGCTCCAGTTACTAGGGCAACCAGGTCCCTCTCAAAAAGAAGTTCCCATTACTAGGGTGACCAGGTTCCTCTCATCGGCTTTTCTAGGCTGAGGCCTGATCAGAGACCAATGGACACCAATGACATCAAAAAGTGGAGGTTGTCACAAAGGCAACCCCTGACCAATGAGGGGCTGCAGCGTAGGGATACAGTGGGCAGCAATAAGCACTGGTACCTTGACAGGCTCAGGCCAGCAGGAAAATCAAGCTGTGCCAATTGGGGCAAAACACAGCAATCCTCATGGCTGGAAACAAACGCTCCGTAGGCCTAGGAGACAACGCCGTTCCCGTTCCAGAAGAGCAGAGCTGCAGTTTCCTGCCAGCCGCTTGGAACGCTGCCTGCGAGAAGGTCAGTATGCCCGGCGCCTGAGCTCAACCACACCTGTTTTCCCGGCTGGTGTTCTCCAGTACCTGACAGCCAACATCCTGGAACAGGCAGGGAAGGAGGCCGAGAACAGCCACAGGGTGTGCATCACTCCAGAACACGTGAAGAGGGCACTGCAAAAGGATAAGCAGCTCAGATGGATCTTGGAGTTGGAAGATGACACCCACTCTCAAGTAGAAGAAATGCCCCAACCCGAGGAGGAGGAGGAAGAGGAGGAAGAGGAGGAGAAGGAGCAGGAGGAGGAGGAGGAGGTGGTGGTGATGGGGGGAAGGAGGAGGAGGAGAAGGAGGAGTAAGGATTCCTGAGTTTCGGAGCTGTGCAGGACTTCATCAGCAACCTCCTCCCAATGCCAAAATTTCCACAGATGAAAGACCCCAGGTTGCTTTCATCTGCCCAAGCTATTAAACTGTGTAAACGCATGACAGTGCTCCTGACTCCTCTCAGTTTCCACCGCTTTGGGTTGGAGGTGTCTGTGGGACATCTAGGAGAAACTATCCCCAGAGAGCTGAAGTGGGGGAAGGTGTGGCCAGTGTGGAGTGTTTGAATCAGTGATTTAGAGGGGGCAGTTTCCAATGGTGACGGAGAGGGCACGGGCCCTGTGGGGAGGCACTGGCTGGGATAAAGACACCGAGACTTCCTCATTGCCTCTGAACAGGAAGGCCTTGTGAGGCCGGGAAGTTGGCTGGGGGCCTCTGAGGCTTGTTGAATTCCCAGCCTGATGCTGGGGCCTGGGGCGGGGCTGCAGACTCTGACTGAGGTGCGGGAGGCTTTATTCAGGATAGCAAAGGTCTGAAGTCAGAGGGCGGTGGCTGCAGGGGTGGGTGGAGAAGGGGCACACTGGCTGGCATGAATTCATGGGACAGGGGATTTACATGGAGATTGTGTTGGGGTTGTCCTTAGGGTCATTTGGGAGATGGGCTTGTCTGAATCCCAGAAGCCTTTCTTGCCACGTGATGTCCACTGAACCTCATATTCTCAGGCAACTCATTGTGAAGATGCCCACCCCACCACTGGGTGATTCCTTATGGAGAGCTATAGAGCATTCCCAGCCTTAGCTCAGATCGTCACTTTCTCCTCTGTGCATTTGAGAAGCAAGCAGGCATCTCTCCAGCATCTGCAGGTAGCGAGTCTCCTTTAGCTGATCACATCATGGTGACAACAGCGCCCTCTCCACTTGCCAAAGTGAAACATCTTTGTTTTCAGGGTATGTGTTCCTGCTAGTCCAGTGTCCTCCAGTCAGAAGTGAGTGCCTCTAGGATGGGTAATGGCAGCGAACTGATCATTTTCTTCAGATCTTGACATATTGGCTACGTAGCTGTCTGGTGTTTAAAAGCTGTTGATGTTGCTTATGGCTGTGGCTTATTGTAGAACTAGACATAATGTCCTGGATACTTCACTGGAATGCACACCTGAGGACTTCATTTAAGGCAGAAGAAGCCATAGTCGGTGGGTGGCCTGTGGCGGGTGAGTCCCTCTGTGCAGTCAGGTGGTCACCTTACAGTGTATGCAGTCGTCAACACTAACGGTCCCTCTGACCTTGTACGGACCCGGGCTTCTGGGCTCTTTCAGACTCTGTTTCATGTCTGAGGTGGAGTTTGGAGGTTGACCTTGGATGAGCCCCTGTTGCAAGCTGTCTGCAGAATCAAGGGGCATGGGACAGCCAGCAGGAGGTACTGCTATCCCTTTAAGAATTGTGCTCAGCTGTGCTCATGGGTTTCAGAGGGATCATGGGGGGCCACAGCCGGCATAGCTTCAGACTAATGCAGCACTCT